TTTTTTCTTGGATCAATTTTCTCTCTAGATGTGAGTTCCATGTTAACTTGGCGTCCCGAATATGCTTAGGTTGTATCCACCCCTGTTCCTTCATCTAGTGAAAGGTACTATGGCGATATTTCTGGCGTTGAACGTGAGAATTGCTTCCTCGCACCAGAGTTGTACAGCTATTCTGCTGTTTGCATAGGTTTTGCTATGACCGTAGGATCTTTTCATTGAAGGAGTATCGCTACATCGTCTGGATAGAAATTGTTTTCTTTTTTTCTATCTGTACCCAACGCGTTGATCCCAATGTTGTAACGGTACAATAATTCTGAGAATGGTTCTACTATGAACGGTTCTTATTGAATATTATTTGGAAAAAACTTGAAGGATATATCTGACTTTCTGGTCAAGGTAAATCTGCAATTATTATTCACTTGTTCTTCCTTCCTCTTGAAAAGTTGACATGTCTTTTTCATATCGAAATTCTCTGACGTTTTCTTAAACATTTGGCATTTGGGTTTCTGGATCAATTGTTTTCTGGAAAGCTACAGTAGTCATATCGTTGAGCTGGTTAACTGGCTTTAGCTGACTAGGCTGGAACCTTAAACTGGAACCTCATTGGCTGAAGAATAGGCGGCCGTAGTTTATTGAATTGCTATTGATTTCCGAAGATCTGTTGCTGAGTTGGAAAATGCAAAGGATTGAGTTCCAAAGTCGAGAGGTGCTTGTGCTGACTTGAATGACTGTAAAATCAATTCTTGATGTCATTTTTCAAAGTTTGGGATCGCATTTGGGAAAATATTACTTGGCGTTTCCGATTGGTAAATTCGGGCAGCACTAGGGCAACCCTGGTGCAATTTTTGCTTCCGATTGGGAAATCTGGAGGGATTTTTTGCATTCGATTGGGAAACTGGGTCGATCAGTTTTGCCCTCGATGCATATGCCACCAGTGGAAAACTAACTTTACCAATCGCAAACATATAGGCGGTTGAACCGAACTTACTGGTAAACTTTGTTTTACTTTCCGATTTAAAATGCGTTGCTGTCAAAAAATATACACTTTGACGGATTTCTGACATCAATGCATTTTAAATGGGAAAGATCAAGTACAAGTAGAGTAGAGTTCAACTGAATCTCTATTTGGTACAACTGGGCCTGAAGCGAGGAGCCTTAAGCCTGGTTGTACTAAACAGTGGTTCAGTTGAACTCTACTGGTACTACTTGATCTTTTCCATTTGAAATGCGTTGCGTTGCTCTCAAAAAAATTGAGAATTTGACAGATTTCTGACATTAATACTTTTCAAATAGGAAAGTACCAGGGTCCTTATTCTTGAAACAGGGGAGCAACGCTCCCAGGAGGACGAGAGTTCCGTCTTTCTCGCTAATATGCGAATGATAATAGGAGTAGCAAAGACGGAACACTCGTTCTCCCGGGAACGCTGCTCCCCTGTTTCAAGAATAAGGACCCAGGAGAGTTCAACTCCGAAGTACTCCGGCTACAGTTTGACCCATTCGGTTTCAAGCGTTCGAGTGCAAAACGCATGAAGTGTTCTAGGAGCTTCGCATTCTGCACCCGAAAGCGGCTCAGAACATCCATTTGATACATTGATTTGATACAACCAGGCCTTAAGCCTAGTTCTCATGGAGCGGAAAATCGCCTTGCGGATACGGAATTTTTAAAATTTGTTCCGCAGCAAGGAAATGTTTTTGCGATATCACAAAAAAAGTTCAACTATTTTTAACTTTTGTGCGAGTTTTTATCCTCTGCCACTGTTTACTGCCACCCATAGACAATAAAAAATAAAAAGACCTTCAAAAGTATAGCCGAAATAGGTTATACGATTACTGCGTATCCGGTTGCGCATAGCGCATTGCGGAATTTTTGGAAAGCTAGAGACTTACGAAAGATCATTCCGATCATTCGATTCTGTTTCATCTTGCTCTGTCATACCAATTCACAAGACAAGGACACCGTATGAGTTACAGAGCTTTCCTAGGTGTTTTGTAGAAACCTATCAAACATCCAACTATAGAAACTGTGACCGAGAAAACAAATAAGTAACCTAAAAATAACGACATTTCCGTGTTGAAATTTGTCATTTTTAACCGATTAGGCGGTCGTCTAAGAAGACTCGAACTCACAAAATCTAAAGAACAAAAAGAAGAAATTGTCATTTTTATTTAGGCACTCGGTATCGCGTACCTATAATATTATGTACAGCTAGGATAAACTGAACCAGTAAGTATACATGTTAGTTTTGTGATATACGGCATATTTTTTTACTGTTTTAGGAGACCTCAGTCAGAAGAGATAAAATGTAGATGTTAGGCCTTGAATTTAAATCATGAATAAGGGATGTAATAACTGTGTTTGTAAACTCTTTAGGTATTTGACCTATCTAGCTATAATATATATTTTTTCTAGTACAATTTAGTGTTTATTTTGCCTTTTTTTTTTTAATCTACATCAGAAAATGGCACAACACTTTATGGAGTACCACATCATTTTTCTCATTCGGATTTGAGAAAAAAAGATGTGGAACACCATAAGTAAGTTTTTTGTGCAATCAACTTAAGTCAAATTTCAAAATTCCCGCCATTTCAGTATATGTTCCGGCTGCCACTATTGACGCCACCGTCGCTATGACGTCAGCGCTATACAAACTTTCATGTTTTCAATCAGGTACTCTTACCTTGGTATATTATATTTCTCTATGCTGCCACCCATAGAGAAATATAATAAACCAAGGTAAGAGTACCTGATTGATAACATGAAAGTTTGTATAGCGCTGACGTCACAGCGACGGTGGCGTCAATAGTGGCAGCCGGAAAAAATACTGAAATGGCGGGAATTTTGAAATTTGACTTGAGATGATTGCACAAAAAACTTACTTATGTTGTTCCACATCTTTTTTTCTCAAATGCGAATGAGAAAAATGATGTGGTACTCCATAAAGTTTTGTGCCATTTTTTGATGTAGATTTAAAAAAAAGGCAAAATAAACACTAAATTGTACTAGAAAAAATATACTCATATTATAGCTAGATAGGTCAAATACCTAAAGAGTTTACAAATGCAGTTATTACATCCCTTATACATGCTTTAATGTATGTACAAGCTAAGCTGGCCAAGGCCTAACATCTACATTTTATCTCTTCAGACTGAGGTCTCCTAAAACAGTAAAAAAATATGCCGTATTGAACGTATATCACAAAACTAACATGCATACTTACTGGTTCAGTTTATCCTAGTTGTACATAATATTATAGGTACGCGGTACCGCGTGCCTTAATAAAAATGACAATTTCTTCTTCTTGTTCTTTAGATTTTGTAAGTTCGAGTCTTCTTAGACGACCGCCCAATCGGTTAAAAATGACAAATTTCAACACGGAAATGTCGTTATTTTAAGGTTACTTATTTGTTTTCTCGGTCACAGTTTCTATAGTTATGGATGTTTGATAGGTTTCTACAAAACAGCTAGGAAAGCTCTGTAACTCATACGGTGACCTTGTCTTGTGAATTGGTATGACAGAGAAAGATGAAACAGAATCGAATGATCGGACTGATCTTTCGTAAGTCTCTAGCTTTCCAAAAATTCCGCAATGCGCTATGCGCAACCGGATGCGCAGTAATAGTATAACCTATTTCGGCTATACTTTTGAAGATCTTTTTATTTTTTATTGTCTATGCTGCCACCTGTGAGATGTATGGTACGAAATTTGATAAAAATCACTAAAATATAATATGAAATACCTACCCTAAATACATGCAGGGTGTACCATTTAAAACGAAACAGGCTAAATATCTAATGCCACGCTTATTTTTTAAAAAATCGCTCGTACACTTGGCAAAAAATAAACCTGGTAAAGACAATACATATTTTTAAATTTGCCTAGTGTGAGTCAGGCTTCACAACAAAAAGTCTCTTCTGAAAACTTAGGTCAGACAGTTTTTGTCAACGTCAAAGCTCTGAACAAAAGTAAATTCAACATGTTTTTATGTTATGATTGGTGTAAATATGACACTGACTTGACTATTTTTGTCATTATTGAGGTGATAAAAAAGGCCGATTTACACAATACAACACAATAGGAAAATGCGTACCAGTTTTATGATTGGCCAAGTGTACAGTTGCGGCCATTGGAATTGGCGCAAATTTTTGAGTACACCTTGTATTGCATCAAAATAATCAACGATTTGACTTTTTTAACAAATCGTTAATGCTAAAATTGTGTCAGTTTTGGCTTTATACAAAGCGCGTTCAAATATTTGTGCCAATTCCAATGGCCGCGACTGTACATGTAATTTGATTTTCAAAGGGGGAAGTTTTTTGCAATCATTTTCAGCACATCAACTTCAACCCTCTAGGCGGGGTAGGACCAACCATCACTATTTCAAATGGAACAAGGGGTCGAGTGATACCTCTTTCAAAAAAGTGTTCAATTCTCTTTTATTTGATGTCATTTAGAAGAAAATTGGGCGCTCTCTTGAAACAGGTATCACTCGAACCCTTGTTCCATTTTGAATGGTTAAGGGTTGGTCCCACCCCCGCTAGAGGATTAAGTTAGTGCTGAAAATGTTTCAAACACTCACACAATCAAATTACGTGTACAAAAAATCAAAAAAATAAAATAAAAGTGACATCAGATATTTAGCCTATTTCGTTTTAAATGGTATACCCTGTATAATTAAAAATCAGCTTCCGGAATATCGCTTCATGTGAACCGGCAAAAATTACTTCTTGAACGGAGAGCGATATTCCGCACCTGCAACGCGGTTTTCCGCTCCATGAGAACTAGGCTTTAGTGTTTCTAGATAAAGTAGAAGGGTGTTCATTTGTACTTGCTCTACCTGCTCGAGAAATCAGAACAGATCTGCTAGGAGCTGCTATTTATAAGACCTTTTAATAGGGACAAATGAACGCAGATCTACTCTTGAGATCTTCTTGAAGCAAGAAAAGCAGTGCGAATGAACACCCTATTGAACTTCTATACCTATTTTTTTGACCGGTACCAAAATCAACTCAAGTTGACTTCTGTCAAAAATTTCGCAACACATTTTAATCAAAATTATCGTTAGAAAAATGCATAAGTTTATTGCAACTGAGCTTCAACTCATGGTAGATACCATAATTGTCCGTTCAATGTCCTATCCGACCTACTCTATGGAAGTGATACTGGCTTCAGTAGTGGTTATTGTACAATTACTTTTATGTGTTGAGATAGAAATTTCCATATCGAGAACTTATGACAGAACCAATGCTAAAAGATGGAATAAGAACTCAGTTAATGGTAATTTCTCGATTATCCCCAGTTTAAAAAAAGGTATTTATTTTATGGTCGTTTAGGTGACCCCTTCCAAATATCGGATTATGGTCGTTGCGATAGTTTTATGTTTCCCGGACTGCCGCAACTTCTCCAGAGAAATCCGGAAATGCTTTCAAAAATTAATTATGGGACTATACGAAGAATGGGCATGATGCATAATGATATGTCGGATTTCATACGGTTGAATCCAAAGGGAGACTCGATTTCTGGTAATACGTATTTTTCTGAGAGGGAAAAAAGGGTAAGAAACTTCAAATTAAATAAATGTTTCCATGGGACCACAAATATTTGAGATAAATTTGAGACCTAATTTTTTTTTAACGTTAATATATTTTTTGTTTATCTCCAGATTCTGATATGTAGCCCTAGAAAAAGTACATGAGTTTTACTAATTGAAAATTGTTGCAGCTTCGAACCTCAGATAACAACCTTAGATATTTCCCTTTCTTGTGAAACAATGTTTACTATTCCTGTAATAATATAATAACTTTTTAGGCTGAATTTTTGCTATCAATAACACCAAGCCAATACATACAGAAAGACAGGGAACGATTAAATCAAAAAGGACTTCGTTCTTGTATCGAATCGCTAGCTACAAACCTTGAAAAGGCCATCATCAACGACTCTATAGAAATTCAAAGTGTGGTGAAGGATGCCGTTAAACGTAGCCTTAACACGTTAAAAGACAACATCGAAGCTGATAAAAATTCAAACTTTCAATTAACTAATTTTCCCTCGCCGAGTTTGCAAATTTTAATCGATCAAATCGAAGACAAAAAAGCTTTAGAAAACTCTTTATCGCCCGACTTAATATCGTCAATATACGTTGCCCCAGAAGTAAGGTCTTCCATAAAAAACAACATTGGTTCTGGAGTAACCAAGCACAAATCCGAAATTGAAATCAGGGAAATAAAAAGTTGCAATCTGAGTATCAAATCCAGTAAATCTCTAAGCGATATTGTAGATATTCAAGACGATATTGTTGAAAAACACAAAGAGAGAATGGTCATTAGTTAATCAACGTGTCGAATATTTTCATATTATGTACCTATTATTTTGAGAGAAATAAATGTTTATCAGTCTTTAATTATTATTAGTTGCCAATCAAATTTTCTTAATCCAGAGTATTTCATATTTAATTCTACAGTATTGTATATTTCCAGGGCCTCCACAGTCTTGGCACACCCAGCCTCTGGCAGCCTCATCTTTTCCTCTGTTCTCTCGCTCCTTCGCTCCTGAGGGCCTATCATTTGCCATCGTCTCCCAATTGCTAATATCGATGCGGCACTCTACTATCTTCTCCCTAAGAACATGTAGCGCTTATTTTTTTACCTACGAGCGTGCGGTAAAGTGCACTTTACCGCACTTATTTGCAAATGGAAAGTAGTACTTTGCCGCACACTATGCGGTGAAGTTACTTTACCGCATAGTACTATGCGGTAGAGTTACTTTACCGCATAGTGTGCGGTAAAGTTAACTTTACCACATAGTATGCGGTAAAGTGGACTGCAAAGTGTGCGGTAAAGTTAACCTTACCGCATGATATGCGGTTAAGTAGACTTACGTATTTGTGATTAAGAATCCTTTCTTTTTCAGAAAATGGATTTTTGATCATTTCTAAAGCCAATCTACTTTCATTAATTAATCTGATTCATTAATTAATTTTATTAATGCCTTTTTTGGAGATGTAGATGCTCATAGGTAAAATTTTGTACCTAACACATGCGGAAAGTGCCATTACCGCTCTTAACGGCTTAACTGCCGTTGCGTGCGGTAAAGTATCACTTTCCGCATTTGTTAGGTAAATAACTATTACCTCCCTTATTTCGTTTTCCTTCTTTCAGTTGACTGTAGAGAATATTGTCACAAGCCTATTTTGCTGTGACTCGGGGTTTGGGATCTTTCGGGGTTTTAATGAATTAAAACAATAACTTCCAAAACATTAAAAATAATTAAGTTGATTTACTACAACTAAAGGATTGATTAAGCAACCAATGAGAACATTGAAAACACTAAGACATCATTTATAAATGTTGAATAATTGTACTTACCAGAGACCCATCTTTCTGTAGCCCGTAGCACAACTTTAGCGCCCGAATTTAGATTTACAACTGTCTTGAAAATTACGCTTTATCGATCCAAATCGATTCAGAATTGTCAGCAAAAATCATTGACCTAAAACCTAGGTTGTTGGCTTTAAGCTTTTTTGCTGACTCTGAATGCGTTTGCTTTATTTAATATAACATCCGAATTGCGCAACTAAATTGGGACATTATTAGTCAATGAACTTTGGCTAATTCGTATTGGAATAATAATGTTATAAAGGGTGATATTTTTTGGCTTGACAATATGTCATGAAAGAAGTTTTTCGGGTATGCAGACGAGGTGACTTGTCCAGCGAAGTTGGTGCTTAATGATGAGGGCTTTCATGCTAGTTGTTTTGGCCTTCTCTAAAACATTAATGTTCGTTCGTCAGTCCTGCCATTTAATCCGTAGGATCCTTCTAAGGCAGCGCTGGTGGAATTTTTCTAGGCTTTTTATGTGTCCTCTGTAGGTGGTCCATGTATCGCAGCCATATTAGTGTTCGTATTACAACTGCATTATACTCGAAGTTTGGTCTCAGCGCCGATGTCATGATTGTTGAAGACCCTCTCTAGAAGTCGCCTGAACGTCTTGCTACCACACATCAACTGATGTTGGATTTCAGCGTGGTTGCATGGTTGCATTCGCTGCCAGATGGCTCCCAATGTATGTTCTGCAAAGAATGATCATTTATAATTTTATTTGGGGCTTAGGGATTAGTTTGAATCGGTGCAGAATCTGCGTCTTGTTAAAGTTAACCTCTAGGTCTGTATGCCTGTACATTTATAATTGCCTGAAGAACTTCCTCTGTATTGGCCATCACGACGTTATTATCCGCATATTGAAGTTCAATTATCGATGTTGTCGATACTTCCGACTTGGCTCGTAATCTGCTTAGGTTAAATAAGCCGCTATCAAGTCTGTACCGGTTTCCTATTCCTGGCGGCAGGTGGGCATTTCTGTGAATCTAGTAAAATAGTTTTTTTCCGGGCTCTAATGCCGTGGTCTAGTGATATTTTTACCTAACGATTTGTCTACCACTGCGGTAGACATCTTCAGAGGTGGCGTGGTAGCGGACGAAGTGTTCTCTTCCGATGACTGGATTCGACGTTTTTTTTTTTTTTATCCTGGCAAAATGGCAAACATTTGAGTGATTGGGAAAAATTTATTTAAATTCTATGTTCCCATATTTGTCAAAATGCATATTCTAGATTCCCAGGTCGTGGTAGAATTTGTGGTGATCCTGAATGTCGGATCCTTAAGTGGGAGGCGAATCTTGGCTACCTCAGATTTGGCTCCCTGGGAGGGGGTATCTTAATCCCGGCGGAGCTGGGTTGTGCGATAGCTTGAATGTGTTCAACTAGATTCTGGAGTTGTATGTTTCTTCTGATTGTGGTATTTCTGACCCGTTTTTTAAGCTCCGTCAGGGGTTGGCGGTTACTGGGTGTTGCAGTGGCGTACCAGGCAGGCGTTCCATGAGTGACTATATGCCGGATATACAGCTTGTAGGTGTTTATTTTCGTTCTGGTGTTCAGACGGCTGTGGCGGTTGAGAAGAAGGTAGAGTTGATTTAGCTGGCCGATGGCCTTGTTCCTGGTATATTTGTCTTGGAGTTAAGATTGTTGTCATAAACGATTCCTAGGTATTTGATATTGGTTTTCCAGGGTAGGGCTATGTTTTTTCACTTCAGCTTCTCTTTTGGTGGGTGTTTTCTTTGGGAACCAGATGACTTGAGTCTTCCTGGCGTTTACTTGGAGGCTTTATCTGTCCATCCAAGTTTCTAACCTCTTGAGGTGTCTCTAAAGGCGTGCTCTTATTATGGGACGGGTCCTGTAATGTGGGTTTATCTGCCATGAATAAGTTAAATAGTAGCGGGCTGAGCGGGGAGCCCTAGGGGACTCCGGCTAGTACTGGTCTTGCGGTAGATCTTGTTTCATTCGTTGAGTGGCTGTTTACGGTAACGCTGAACTAGCTATTGGCCAGGAAGGAGGATATAAGACGAACTTGGTAATGTGGCATGTTGAAACGTAGTATTGTAAGTATGAGGCCTTGGTGCCACATTTTATCAAACGCTTTGGCGATGTCCAGGAATACCGCCCCGGTTTCCATGTTTCTGTTGGTCCCTTGTTGGATTAGCGAGGTCAATCTTGTGGCTAGGTGCGTTGTTGAAACCATCTGTTCATTGGGTAAAGGATTTTCTGTTAATGTCTCTGTATTATTTATAGCCAGAGGGTCGTGAGCGTGGTTTGTATTACACTTTTTCCTTGTCTCGTTCTCGGAACGGAGGGTCTTTGTTTTTCGGAGAACTGCCCAGTTCTTTTCTGTTGAGGTTGTTGTGGTGCTTCTGTACCTTTATGGCTTCTCTGTGGAGTCTGGTGTAAAAATGTTTGGTTCTATCCAATGCTTGAGTCTGGTCGAAACGAATGACATGGTTTGTTTGTGTTAACACATGTTCGGCGATAGCTAATGTACCTATCTATTTGTCCTTGCTGGCAGTTTCTTTTGTGCTCTTCGACTCTGGTGTTGATAGAACGTTTGGTTTTTCCTACATAAACAGATTCAGAAGAGCAGGGAATTTTATAGACTGACATCTGAAGATGTCTATCGCAGCAGTAGACGAAACGTTAGGTGAAAATATCACTAAAGCGCGGGATTATAGCCCGGAAAAAACTCTTTCACTAGATTTGACCGGCCGTGTGAGCCTTCGATCTTAATTTAAACGGCTTCACGCGAAGAAAACACCACGAATTATTCGACGCTTGGAAAACTTAAGCAAGAAAAAGGCCCATTTGGCTCCCTTGCTTTTCTCCGAAGATGCAGGACAATGATCGCACAGTTCTCAATCTGACCCAACGCGTTCTGACTGATTCGGAAACCAGTGTTCTAAGAAAAGCAGGCAATTTTGCAATACCACCGAATGAAAGAGAAACCATTGGTAATCATCAACGTAACTGACTATGAAACAAAATGTCCGAACTACTACAACTTTTTCAATTGTAATTTAGAAAATCAAAGTTTAATTTCAGAGAAGGGAACATGTTTTTCAGAATAGGAACTTATAATTCAGAGAAAAGAAATTGAATTTGAGAATCGTGACTTTAATTTCCTGAATAGGGGAAATGAAATTCAGATTAGGAAGTTGAAATTCAGAAAAGCAAGATTGTAACTCAGAATAGTAAATTGAAATTCAGAAACTCTAAAGTATAATTTAGAAAAGGGAAATTGTATTTCAGAAAGTGAAAATTGAATTCCAGATAATGGAATTTGTAATTCAGAGAAGTATAATATGCACCTTACGATAAGCTATATACAGAGAGTTAAGGCTGGTTCATGCATGAAAATATTTTCCGTTTCTGTAACTTATGCCCGATTGCACCGTCTCTCTTAACCGAGGCTTAGAGATAACTATTCCTTAAAGTGACATTTTCCCATGCAAAACTGTCAATTTAAGGGATAGTTATCGTTAAGCCTCAGTTAAGAGAGATGGTGCAATCGGGCATTAGTCGCTATCTATATTCGTAAGTAATGTATAAGTTGCATGTATTTATATGCAGGTGTTCATGCACATTACTTTTCCGTATCATTTTCTTTATTCTCTATTGAAGATAGTCAACTTCTATCTTTTACGGATAAAGTTACGGATAAAATCGACGGCGCCTGCGCGGTAGATGAAAATATCCAAATTTTTCGACTTAACCTCAAAAACAGGAAATCGTTAAAAGAAAACAACAAATACGTCTTGAAATACGTGTCTGGAATTGGAAATAATATTTATAACACCTTGATGAAACTAAATATTATGTCAATTGACGTAGGAAATCTTATTGAAACCGTTCGCAGTTTCCCATACACGTCAACAATGTCGTTATTAAAGACTAATGAAAACTCTTCATTTTTGGTGCATGAAATACCTTAAATTTTACGGAAAAAGAAAAGTTTATGCATAAGGGAAAAGTTAAAGAAACGGAAAAAGAATATATGCATGAACCAGCCTTTA